ACCAAGCTTTGCAATCAGAAATACAGAGGCACATTGTTGTCCACGTTTTCTTATTCCAGTAGCTCCCTCCACAATATAGAAATGTGTCCTGCCACCCCTACTAACATCATGGAATGTTCCAGGCATTACCAATCATCCCTTAACCTCTGGAACAGCTCATCCAACTCAGGGGGTGAGCAGCATTGGAGGGTTCACAGTCGAGACATGGACTTTTCCTACTCATTAGTTAGTTGTCTTATTTTATGCTATCACCTACGGTAAAGAAAAAACTGCAAATACATTGTAAAGTACAGTACGGTATAACATTGTCAATAGAATGCATCTTACAGTAGATACAAGCGGATTTATTGATTAAGTAACTGTTCTAGCAGATTCATCATCCGAGGGCACCGGAGCAATTGAGTGAGGAGGGTTGTTTCCCAAGCAAGGGGTGAAAGGTGAAAGGTCGGGGTCATCTGGTTACCATGGAGACAGCAGTTATGCAGTAAACAGAGGCACTTCAAACAATTGCTCTAAAATTACTCAAAGCAGAGTTACCCATCCCTAGTTTCTCATCCATAACACAATCCACACTTTTTGCTTGCAGTATCAATTCTTATCAACATACCAACGCATCATTGTCTATATACGAGTCATAACATTTTCGAGATCATCACACATCTTTTAAAACTCTGTCCTTTGTGTTACTCCTTTCTTTATTACAAAAATATTGCACTCTTTTCGATACATCTTCGGAAAATAAAATAAAATAAAAGGCTGGTCCAAACCGTAACAGACCAGTTAACAAATGAGAGTTCCCATTCTTCAATTTTCCCCCCCAACTTTCGGAAGCCCATTGTTTGTTTCTCCTTCAGCATAATGGGTCTCTCAATGTAAACCCCAAAGGTGGAGGGGGTGACTAAATTGCAAAACCTTCTGTAACAGGCATTAGTACATCCAATCCTGTGTTCAAATTACACGGCCATTTTCTGAACTGAAGTACCATGGTTCCTGTTAAGGTTTTGCCGTCGTTATAAGCTATGTGCGGGTATGACCCCCTCCTTCTAAGGGATTACACTGATAGGTGCAAGAGGCATAAATTTAAGCATCTAGGCACAAGGCATTTGCATAAAGCACTGCATAGCTACTCGATGTCCTTTGGCTACAAAGCCGCTGGTAAAAAAGCATGGTACAAAATAACCACACGGCCCATGAACACAAAAACAACAGTCAGCACACACAAGAACAACAACACATTTGTGTACAGGAGCACATCGGCAGAACGTACTGCACCTGTGTGGACCCTATAACGTATTGTGCAGAACAACTTGTTTAAGGTCGTATTCCCGTATTTTAGGACAACATTCCGTCCATAGTTTTCAAATGTTGTATCAGAAGAGATATCGTCTGCAACGGGCACAATTCAGGTGCAACATTGACCAAACATCCAACAATAACGCGTAAAATCGGGTTTTCTCACAGGTGCAGTACGTTCTGCCGACATGCTGTGTACTGGGTACAGCTGGTACACAGGGGTGGCACTTTCAGGCCTACAGAGAACAAAGACAACGGAAAATAAAGGGGAACATAATAATAATTGATTAGTTCCTACTGTTAATTGGAATAATTTAGTCTTCTCAGTGCAAACAACACTTTCCAAGACATTTTACAACAACGTTCACAGCCACTAAAGTCAACCCATGTTAAACATAGGGTCTCAATACGCGGCAGTTCAACCCACATGTCCATTTCATCGAAATACTTCTTCCTCTCTTGCATAAAATTGTTCCAAGTAAGGGGCTCTAAAAAAATCAAAATTCTGCATTGAAAATAGGGCAGAATCATACAGATCTCCTTTTCTCTCAATCACAATGTGCACTTGTCTATGATACATACCCCCTGTTCTAGAAACCATTTTATACAGGATATATAAATATATATTAAGAATATCTAAATAATTTTCACACTTTTAGCTTATTTACATCCTTTCTGTACAAACCACTCTAGTCAGAAACTTGTGCAACTCTTTCCAAATTAAAATTTACACAAACAATCGAGGATGGCAGGGCAGATAGAGCAGAACCGTGTTTGGGTTGGTTTGTGTGCGAAACGCAACGTTTTCAGTTTTGGAATGGACGTAAAGTGGTCGGGATTTCACTACGATGAAGCGGACGTGGGTTTGAAGACGTGGAAGACATCAGCAGGAATTGTCAGAGGCATCATTAGCAAGGTTAGGCTACGACAGTGTGTCACGCAAAGTCCACCATCCGGACAGGTCAACACGTTTCCAACTCAAACAATTCATGTGGAATTTCTCTTAAGGCCATGTTGATTTGATTATATGGATGACATCCTCTGGGAACCCCAAAACTGATGCGCGCGTGCGAATAAAAAAAAAGTTTTGCAAAAAAAAAGTTGCTTTCATTATGAAAACTGCGTGGTCATGAAGGTTGAAAAAATGACACAGTGTATGGTTTGGTGAATAATCTACTCTTTAAATTCATTTCTCTTTACATTTTTGTCTTTTTTGTTTGATTTTGGCATTTTGCGACATTGGTATCATTTTTGAATATTCTTTTTGCAACTTACGGTATATATTTGCTCATTTTGCAACTGTTTTGTGCGGTTTACAGTATGGTTGAAAACTTTTTTTTTGGAAACGGCCGAAAATT